CATGGATGACAAGTTGACAAGTGGTGGATTACTGTAGCTTTTTAAATGTCAACTTAGCTAGGATTGAACTACTTTTTCCAGAATTCCCTCCCCTCTATGGTTTCAGGTTAGGACTGGCTACAAGAGAGAGATGCTTGAGATAGGGAGAGTGGACATGAACCAGCATCCATTTTACACTTGGAAGATTGGTGTACAGCAAATCCTGAAATATGATGTTGTGAAAGTGCTGCACTCAATATGACAGCAAATTTGGAAAACTCAGCAGTGGCCACAGGACTGGAAAAGGTGAGTTTTCATTTCAATCCCAAAGTAAGGCAATGCCAAAGAATGCTCAAACTACCACACAACTGCACTCATCTCACACGCTAGTAAAGTAATGCTGAAAATTATCCAAGCCAGGCTTCAGCAATATGTGAACCGTGAACTTCCAGATGTTCAAGCTAGTTTTAGAAAATGCAGAGGAAACAGAGATCAAATTGCCATATCCGCTGGATCATCGAAAAAGCAAGAGAGTTCCAGAAAAACATCTATTTCTGCTTTATTGACTATGCCAAAGTCTTTGATTGTGTGGATCACAAAAAACTGGAAAATTCTTCAAGAGATAGGAATACAAGACTACCTGACCTGTCTCTTGAGATACCTGTATGCAGGACAGGAAGCAACAGTTAGAACTGGACATGGAACAACAGACTGGTTCCAAACAGGAAAAGGGGTATATCAAGGCTGTATGTTGTCACCCTACTTATTTAACTTATATGCAGAGTACATCATGAGAAATGCTGGGCTGGAAGAAGCACAAGATGGAATCAAGATTGCCAGAAGAAATATCAATAACCTCAGATATGCAGATGATACCACCCTTATGGCAGAAAGTGAAGAAACTAAAGAGTCTCTTGATGAAAGTGAAAGAGGAGAGTGAAAAAGTTGGCTTAAAGCTCAACATTCAGGAAACTAAGATCATGGCATCCAGTCCCATCACTTCATGGCAAATAGATGGGGAAAGAGTGGAAACAGTGGCTGACTTTATTTTTCTGGGCTCCAAAATCACTGTGGATGGTGATTGCAACCTTGAAATTAAAAGACACTTACTCCTTGGAAGGAAAGTTATGACCAACCTAGACAGCATATTAAAAAGCAGAGACATTACTTTGCCAGCAAAGGTCCATCTAGTCAAGGCTATGGTTTTTCCAGTGGTCATGTATGGATGAGAGATTTGGACTATAAAGAAAGCTGAGTGCCAAAGAATTGATGCTTTTGACCGGTGGTGTTGGAGAAGACTCTTGAGAGTCCCTTGGACTGCAAGGAGATCCAACCAGTCCATCCTCAAGATCAGTCCTGGGTGTTCATTGGAAGGACTGATGCTGAAGCTGAAACTCCAGTACTTTGGCCACCTCATGCAAAGAGCTGTCTCGCTTGCAAAGACCCTGATGCTGGGAAAAATTGAGGGCAGGAGGAGAAGGGGACGATAGAGGATGAGATAGTTGGATGGCATCATCAACTCAACGGGCATGAGTTTGGGTAAACTCCAGGAGTCGGGGATGGACAGGGAGGCCTGGCGTGCTGCTGTTCATGGGGTCGCAAAGAGTTGGACATGACTGAGCGACTGAACTGAACTGAACTGGCCCTGCACTGTGGCAGCTTGCGTATGCTGTTACTTCTGGCTTGATTGATAAGAAACAGCATCTGGGCCTGTAGCTACTTAAACGCCTACCTGTTTTTCTCCAGCTCTTTCGAGTCCTGAGCCAAGTGAATGTGCAGTTCCACTGTGAAGGGCTCTAGCGTCTCCCATAAGGCATTCTTGCCATCTTAATTAAGAGACAGTGAGGAAGAGGCGCAGTTTTCAGTTTACAGCCATGGTTTCAGTGCATCCTTCTCAATTCCTGCTGCCTCCACACTCTCTTAATTGATGTTCAGCTTTCCTCCTTTACTGAGAACTAGTTCAGTACCAAAGACAACAGCCTTGTAAAAACTTCTCTTCTAGCTCCTAAAGTCTATACTATTCACACTGCTTCTGTCTCTCTGATTCAATCCTGACTGATATAATCATTAATAGTATGAAGAATATACAAAATTTTCTACATATGATTAAGGTAAGTAACAGAAAAACGGCAAAAAGGAACATATAGATGTGAGGCGAGCAGAAGTAACGCCATGGCAGGCAGCTTAGATTGGGAGTGGGCCTTCCTACTTCTGGGTGGTAAGATTATCAGGCCACCTGGATACAACCAATCAGCTTAACACTGACCGCTGTTTGCCAATTAGGAACGGGGCAGAAACCTCTGGGAAAGTCCCGCGCGTGAAAGTTTTGACCAATGAAATTGCCTTGCAATCTGCTTAGACCAACTACCAATGGCATGTGCTCACCGTATAAATTTGTGTAACAGCTTGGGCTCGGGGCTCTCTGACCCGCACCACTGCGTTGGATGCGGCAGGAGCCCTGACTCGAGTCAGCAATAAACTTCCCTTTTTGCGAGTTGCATTGTCTTGGAGGCCTTCTCTCTTCCCGCTCGGGGATTCGGACATCGGGCATAACAATAGAAAGTTTATATACACAAAAAAAACCCCAAACACAGAAAGCTAACACAAGATGTTTGACCTCATCAATTATCAGGAAAACATAAAGTATGAGCTATGATTTCATGCTCAGCAAAGCAGAAAATATTAAAATGTATAAGAACTCTAAGAGTGAGTTTGGATGTGAAACAAGAAGTTGTACATATCACTGCTTAGAATGTAAACTAACCACTTTGGGGAATAACCTAGTAATACTGACAAAACTGAAAATGGACATTCTTCAAAGACCTATAAATTATACACTTCAGAAAGATTCTAGAAAACCCTCAAATAGTAATAATGGGGAGGAATGTGTCCTTTATCCAGAGAATGATACCAACATGCATGTGAGCTTGAGGAACAGTCCACTTACCTTGAAGCTGATCATCCAGGAGTAGGAGGTGGTCTAGTCACTCTAGGAAGAGGTATTAAGTCTCGCATAAGATAGTTCCATGATCCTTGCCTTGAGGCAATCATGGCCTTGTAAATTTCCCTCCCCTTTTGTACGGCTTTGCTTTAGTGTTCCACCTCTAATAAACAAAATAGGGTGCAGGTGATGGAATGTTACTTGCAAGATTAGGTAGTAAAAAGACTGAAGCTTCTGTCTTGGACACCCTCTCTTATTCTGTTACATTATAAGCTCTATGGAGAGAATGATATGACAAGAAAGTGAGGTGTCTCACCACAATCCAGTCAGGCCCTCAGACCAGTAAACAGCCATAGGAGTGAATTTGGATATGGATCTTCCCTCAGTCATGCCTTAAAATAATAACAGCCCTGTCTGATACTTTGAAGAAGTCTAGGATCCTGGACCTGAGATATCCAGCTAAGTCATACCCAGATTCTTGACCCACAGCAACTGTGAGATAATAAATGTTTGTTGTTGTTTCAAATCACTAAATTTTAAGGCACTTTGTAAAGAAGCAATAGATACTAATAAAATCTCCAATAATCACTGCAAACCCACAGTGGTAAACAAATGTATTATTTTCAGACCAAGAAGAAGGACTTTGACTTATCTCAAATCAGTCATTAATTCAACCAGTAATTACTGAAGACCTAATTTATCAGGCCCTGTTGTAGGGATAAAGTTATGAAAAAAAAGTCCCTGACCTATGCTTTTACAGAGTTTTATACACAGACAATAAATAATAAAATATATCCTATGTGTCAGATGATGAAAATCCTATGGGGAAAAATAAAGCAAGTAGACAGGATAAACAAAGTTGGTCTAAGCAGGGTTTGCAATTTTCAAAAGTGTAATCAGAGGCCTGCTCTGAAAAGACAGTATGCAAACAAAACCAAGGAAACGTGTGATGGAGCGAGTCACACAGGGTCTGGAGGAAATGCATTCCAGGAAGAGAGAAGAGCAAATGCAGAAGTCCTGACGCAGGGCTGAGCCGAGCAGCGCAGCCTCCAGGGTCCCGGGTGCTCTGGAGGGAAGCAGGAGCCGCAGGGTTCTGAAGAAAGGAGCAGGATCACTGCGTGCTGCTTTGTCGCTCAGTCGTGTCCAATTCTTCACGACCCCATGGACTGCAGCCTGCAGGCTCCTCCATCCGTGGGGATTCTCCAGGCAAGGATACTGGAGTGGGTTGCCATGTCCTCCTCCAGGAGATGTTCTTGACCCGGGGATTGAACCCAGGTCTCCTGCACTGCAGACAGATTCTTAACTGTCTGAGCCACCACCAAAGCCCACCTAGACTAATGTTTTAAAATGATCACTCTTGCTGTTGTCATTAAAATAGTGTGTGATTGGGTTGCAGGGTGCAGGGCAGGCTTGGCGGTCATCAAGTGTAAAGAAAAGCAGACAGGCTAGGAAGTTTTTATAATCATCCCAGTAAAAGTATGGTGGTTCAGATCAGGGATGGAAAAATGGTCAATTATAAATTGTTCTAAAGTAAGATTTAATAGGATTTGCCAGACAGTTAAATTTGTGAAGTGTATGTGTGTGCTTAGATGCTCATTCATGTCCTACTCTCTTGCGACCCCGTGGACTGTAGCCTGGCAGGCTTTTCTGTCCATGACATTCTTCCAGCAAGAATACGGGAGTGGGTTGCCATTTCTTCCTCAAGATATCTTCCAGACTCAGGAATCAAACCCAAGTCTCCTGCACTCGGCAGGGAGATTCTTTACCACTAGTGCCATCTGGGAAGCCTCTTTGTCAAGTACCTGTGTATGTATATCTGCTGAAGGATATGTAAATAATTAAACCAGAAAAGACATGTTTCATTAATTCTACTTTCACATATTTATTATTCATAATGCCCTGGAATCTATACATACCACTACTGCTTTGCTTTAATGCACAATAATGACTATTTTCAATGCCTTTTCAATAGTTGCACATGCATTTTATTTCTTCAAGTATGCTATATTTTAGTGAGCAGCAGAGTGCTTAAGTAACAAGCTGACCCTGAAACAATTCTGCCTTACAGTGACTGTGACGGCTACTCTTCACTCCACTCTTGCGGGGCAACTCTGCCAACAGGGGAACGGCCCCACTGTATGCCCATCTGTGTGCATAGAAATACCCATGTAACAAGACAGAAAGAGGCTCCACTGGCTAGGAGGATATCACCATATTTGTCATGAAAATCTGGTGAGTGCTTTGAGTGACTCTGTCTAATTTGTTGAATCCTTCGGATCCTGAGAGTACTTAGTGCATTTCTGACCAAGGGAAACATCATGAAGGTATGACAGAGTCGAAGTTGATTGAAGCTGCTGGTTTATTTCCTTGCAAAGAAACCTGAAAAAACAAAAAACGGACAATGACATCTGACCTACATTTAGCTCTTCCCAGTTTCAAGGTTCTACCCATACCACCTCCTGCAGTGTGGCCAGGCAGGTGAGTTTTGATATCATGACGTCTGGATCTGAGTCTTAGCTCTGCCACTGATCAGTTATATGAACTTGGGCAGTTCATATAGTGCTTTTTGCCTTAATTTCTTCAATGGCAAACTGAGACAAAAATGTCCAACTGATAAAATGTCTAAGATTTCCAACATGCCCCATTAGTCCAATGACCTGCCTGTGTCTACAGTAAAACTCTAGTTTCAGTTAGAATTACAAGGCATTCACCAGTACGTCATATCTTTTTTCTTGCTCCTCTCCTCCCTTCTAAACCTCCTGCTCATTTCTTCACCTCTACCTGTAATTCTTGCCTTGCACTTTCCTACAGGGCAACTTCCATTTACCTTTAAATCCCGGTCTAAAAGCCATCGGTTCTATGAAGTCTTCTTGAAGCCCCCCTAGGCTGAATAAGACCCTCTTCTCTGGGCTTCTATGCTTCTTACCACCCTTCTTTCATACCATCTGGCATGATGCATTGGTTTAATCATTTTTAAAAACAAACTTAATTTCTTTAGTTTTAGGTTCACAAAAAATTGAATAGAAAGTATAAAGTCTCCATATAATTCCTGACTCCATACATGTATGCCTTTGCTGCCCTGTACCAGCGTAGCACATTTGTTGTGTTTGCTGCAGTGAACCTGCAGGCCTTTATCATGTGTGCCTCTTGCAAATATTCTCTTCTGGCTTGTGGCTTGGCTTGTCATTCTCTTAAAGAGTTATCTTTATATTCTCCTTTATAATCTGAAACATCTTCAAGAGCAAAAAATGTAATTTTGCATACCAAGTAGATGACATGAAAATTAAGAAAAAACATTTTTGAGTCAATCTGAAATATAAACGAACATTGGTTTTCTCATAAGAAGTTAAAAGCAACTGAGAACAAGACCCCAAATCATGGAATCAGATGCACGTGACCATAATAGCCCTAATAATTCTATTTTTCAAACAGAGAGTTACGCTGAACAAGCGATAGAGAAGCAGAAATGCAAGGAGGAGTCCTTCGTTACTTTCTCTTCTCTGTGCAGTCAAACAGTGCTCAGTCTCTAGCAATGACATATGTTAACTGTACCCCAAACGCAGGCAACATGGATGCAAAAGGGCCTGAGGTCAGTGCTTGTAAACTTTTAACTGTTCACTGAGATTTTCCAACTCAAATTATTTTATTCCCAACTTAGAAAGCAAGACCCTTAGGTTCTCTTTTATTTCCTACCAGATGGTAAAGTGGTACTCTTCGTGATTGTGACAAACAGTGTAAAAACAGAACCAAATGCATTTCCTCTGATGTTTCAAGCATTCAGAGCTTTTTTTCCTGTCACGACTCTCTTCACCAAAAAGCACTGCAGCTTTAATTTGAAAGGCGTTCAGAGAGGTGGTTGAAGGTGTAATGGATCAGAGTACGACAGGCGCAGCCTTAACCCAACACAGAAGCACTGGTGCCACAGAGCCTCCAGTCTTCACAAAGGCGCGGGGCTAGAGAACAGTTCGCGACACAGGGTCTCCCGGGGCCGCCAGCTCATGCCTGCTGCCCTACGACAGGCTGCTTTCCCTGCTCCTGTCCTCTCAGTGTTAAGCCGAGACCCAAATACTTTGTCCCTAGTAACACTGGTTGCACCCCTTTGCTGCTTAGTTCATCCTTTGGCTATCACCATATCTGTGAAACTTTTTTCCATCTAGTCTGAATTTTCTTGTACCAATAAGTGTCCATTATTAAGAATTTCATATTAGGAATGCTTTCTGTAGCTTTATGTAGTTACAGTCATTTCATTCTATAATAAAAAAAAAAACCTGCCACCTTTTCATTCTTTGTTTTTTCTTGTAAGCGTCAGAATCCGTCACTTACATATCTACTTTTGATCTATTTTTGTTTATAAAACACATGTAAGGGCTGGGAACCCACTGATTAGAGAAATTTTCCATGTTCCTGAACTCCACATGACTTACTTTTACAACAAATTTTGTGTTATCTAAGAGCCTTAAGCCTATTACCCAAAGAACTGAAGCTATAGATTCCAATAACTGTATGAAAGCATAAAAAAGGAAAATTCAATAATATAATGCAGGTAGAGAAAATGCTTCTCAAAGTAGATGCTTTTTGATGAAAATGGACTGCAAAGAGAAGGAAGAAGACAGATTTTTCTAGGTAATAAGAACAAAGTAGAGGTTCTCTCAATGCCTGTGGCAATAAAAGAAAAAAATATGTTCTGAATAAATATAAATAGTTAAAGGGAGTGAGGTATCCTGTGAGGATGAAAAGGAAAGATGGATTGTCCCATCTATTGTATACAGTAAAGCAGAAGCACAGTTCAGGAAAAAAATAACTAATACTGGACCTCAATCTAACTGTAATAAGGAGGTATATAAATTTGAAACTTCACGGCTATCAATAATAATTTTAAATAACTACAGCCCATAAAAATAAGTAAAGCAGTAACATAGGAAACAAACTAATATTTATGGCATATATGCCTGTTTGACAAATATTATGCCAAAATTTTGCACATCTGTAAAAAGTGTGAGATGGTGATTTTCTATCTTCATCTTACACACAAGAACAAATGACAGGGCAAGATGTGAAATCAAGTCCCTTTGATTTTAAATACTGTGCATTTTCAACTATGCCATGTTTTCTTAAAGTACATTCAATTCTGAGCACTGGAAACAAACATACTACAAAGAAACAAACGCTAGCCTGGCTACCAGAGACAGGTCTTCAGTTGGAAGCGGGCCCCTTCAGCTTACTATGAATACATGCATGCATGCACGCATACATACATGTATGTATTTCTGGAGTGATCCCTGGTGTGACAGGACCTGGGCTAGTGGCACCATCTCTGCTCTTATTACAGCTCTGACAGAGGGAGGGGATGGACAGAGGCCTGTCCCAAGGGAGGAGGCAGTTTAGGGAAGGTCACTGGGTCACAGAGGACAGGTACATCTCACCCTGGGGTTCTAGAAATGGTTTTAGAGAAAAGGACCCCTACACTTGATCTTGAAGGATGATTAAGAAACATAAGAAACAAAACTGGTAGGAAAAGAATGTAGACCAAGTACCATCAGCAAAAGCACAGAGCAGTGGGACAGGACGGGAGCGGGGCGGGACAGGAACAGGACTGAAACAGCAAACAGCCTGGAGGGATGAGGAAAGAACCGCAGTGGATCCTGAAGACGTAAATGCCTTGCTGTGGCATCTGGACTCAGTTCTATAGGTGAGTCTTTCCCACTGTTTAGAAAACAGTGCTCAAACACAAAGTCTTTCCTGTAAGTTAACAAGAATTCTTAATTCTGTGATTTTTTCCCCTTATAATAATACAATATAAAGAAATATGAGAACTGGCTGATTAACTTATCAATTTCTAGTACCTGTGTTTATCCTTGTTTTGCATTTCAATTACACTCATGTACATTCATCTGTCCTGGGCTAATATGAAAAGAATAGAGGCAGGTTTTATATTTAAATAATGCACTGATTTCAGGGACAGATTAAAGAATTAGATGAACAGAGTCACGCCATAGCTTACCATATAGCACAGGCACCTGAGAATAATGAACACAAGGCGGCTGAAAGCAATGTTACCATTTCAGGACAATATTAACTGTCTTACTAACTTATATTGCAAATTTGAATTTTCTTTGTTGAACAGTTTGGTTTCTTTTTTAATTTGAAAATTCGTTTTGGTTTCATAGTTGTGTTAAACTTTAAACATAAAGAAGAATTTGATTTTATGTTTATACATAAATACATGTGATTTTACAATCAAATAATTTAAGCAAATACTAGTTGAGATAAAATGATTTCTTTCCTCTTTAAAAAGATTCCATATGTAATCCACAATTGAGAAACATTTTATTGATGCAGAGAAACTACCTATTGGCTTAATCAGGAAAAATTTAAGGTGGGGGAAAATCTGGAGGAACAAACACTTTACAAAATAGATTAGGTGAAAAAATGGTAAGAAAACAGCAAAAGTGGCAGAAAAGTTAAGAGGTTAGTTAAGTGTTTCTTTCAATGGTTTACTAAAATGATGATGAGGATCTGAATTAAGTACTGACAACAGAGACAGAGAGGAGATAGAGTTGAGACATATTAGGGAAAAAAATCATTGATTTTTTTGAAATCAAATACTGATTTGAAAATAAGTTACTCTAAGTAAATTGTGTATTCTATTCACTTAGCCTTTAGGTTAAGATTATGCCCAAACTGTCTCAATTTCTGTTAAAACTCAGCAGACACTGACACTGTAGCTTTTAGCTGATCCCATGGAATTAGAATTTGGGTGATCTCGATACAGAATGCAGAAAGGTCAGGGCAGACATAATTGAGGTGTACTAGGAATGACAGGTATAGATATTTGAGTAGATGAAAGAGGAAGAATCCTAAAAGGATTTTACTGCATGGTCCTAAAATTTAAAAAAAAAAAAAACAATTTCACCCAGCCTAAGAATAGCCTGACATGGGTCAATAAATGACCTGCTTAACTTTGGTATAAGGCTTCCTATTTAATTTCAGGAAGAAAATTGGAAACTGTATCCTACTTCTCAAATGTGCCCAGATAGGACTATTAAGTATCTCAAAGGGCGATAATGTTCAAGAAGCAATTACTACCAGGGTTTCCCAACTTGGACACTATTGACATTGTGGTCCAAATAATTCTTTGCTGTAGGAGGACGTCTTGTGTGTGGCAGGGTGTTTAGTAGCATCTCTGTCTCTATACACTGCATACCAGTAGTACCTCATTTTCTTTAGCTGTGACACCAAAGTCTATCTCCAGACATTGCCAAATGTCACTTGTGGGGCAAAATCATTCTTGAGTACCACTGTCATATACAGAGTCAAGTG